ACCCGGGGGTCGGGGGGGGGAGGCTCAGTAGGTTAAGCGTCTTGACTCTCGGTTTCGGCTCAGGTCTTGATCTCACGGCTCACGGGATGGAGCCCCGCCTCAGGCTCCATGCTGACAGTGCAGAGCCTGCTCAGGTTCTCTCTCCCTCTGTCTCTGCCCCTCCCCTACTCTCTCTCTCAAAATTAGCCAGTATTAAAAAGAAAGAAAGAAAAAGTGTGAAGTGCAACAAGGGGACATGGAAGGCCTCCCTGAGCACGCGACATCTGAGCAAAGACGTGAAGGGGGGAGGGGGTGGCCACGCGGATGGAGGGGAAGAATAAATAGGCGACACCGGTACGGAAGGTGAGCCCTGGGGTGCGGGCGTGCCTGGTATGTTCAAGAAACAGCAGGGAGGCTGGTATATGGTTAGGACAGAGAGGAGGGAGAAGGAGGAAAGAGAAGATGTCGGAGAGGCCGGGCTTTATGATCAGGGCTCCGTAACACACCTACCGTAAGGACTCCGGATTTACGGAGTGAAATAGGGAGTTGTCGGAATTTTGAGCAGCGTGCCATGATCGAGCTGCCGTGTGGACAACAGACAGGGGACACGGGGTAAGAAGGGAATAGGAGAAACTGGCTGGAAGCCCCATAATCACCCCGGTGAGAGGCGATGGGGACTGGACCACCATGGCCGCCGTGGAGGTCAGGAGAAGGGGTCGGATCCTGGGTGAGTTTGCGAAGTACAGTCCTGATGGCTTAGATCAGGGATGGGGATGGGGTCGTGTGAGAGAAAGAGGGGGGACCAGAGATGACTGCGGGGCTCTTGATCTAATGAGGAAGGGAGGCGGCTGCCCTCAAGGGAGTGGGTTAGAGCCGGGCCGAGCAGGCAGATTCAGTTTCCGACCCGTTACGTTTCCAACACCCCACTGGGGAACTGTGTAGTCCGTGTCTGGAGTCCAGGACAGAGGTGTGGCTTGGAGAGGCCTGTCTGTGACCCCCCCTGCCATACAGATCATACTCAAAGCCAGACGAGGTGACCAAGCCTGAGGGAAGGTGACAGGGACCGGGCACGGGGGCTCATCTGATGAAGAGAAGGAGGCGAAGGAGAACCCAGTAAGGGGGATGAGAAGGAGCTCCCAGTGAGGCGGAAAGAAGGAAGCCTGAACACGAACTCGAGAGGCCAAGCAAGGAGGAGGGAGCGTCCACCCCGTCAAAGCCACTGATGGGTCAAGGACTCTGTGGACTGAGGACAAGCGGTTGGGCTGAGCAGTGTGGAAGTCACTGGAGGCTTCGACGAGCAGTTCCCGCTGAGCGGTGCGGGGCGAGTTTAAATCTGACCTTGATTTCGGCTCACGTCCCGATCCCACGGTTCATAAGATCGAGCCCCAAGTCGGGCTCTGTGCGTGGAGCCTGCTTGGGATGCTCTCTCCCTCTGTCCCTCCCCTGTTCGCTCGTTCGCTCGCTCTCAAAATAAACAAATAAACATTAAAAAAAAAGAATGAAGTAGTGACAGGAGAGGGATTGGAGACAGCAAGTAAGAACACTTTCGAGAAGTTTGTCTACAAAGGGGGGCGGGGGCAAGAAATAGTAGCAGGTGGTGGGGAACGTGAGTTCAAGGGAAGTTTGGCTTTGGACGCTGGGAGGCGTAACGGTGTGTCTGTGTGTCGACGGGGACAAGAATCCAGTAAAGAATGAAGAACGAAGGACGAGTGAGAGAGAACCATGGGGGCCGAGCTCCGGGGTCAAGGGAGGGGTGAGGCCTGGCACGCAAGACGGGGACCTGGGTTTAGACAGGAATATCTCGAGGGGGGGGGCACAGAGACGTGGGGACAGACACCGAGAGACCGATGATGTTTTCTTCTGTTTGCTTCAATGTTCTCGGTGACGTAGGAAGCCCCCAGTGGGGACAGGAAAGGAGGGGCTGGGTTTGCAGAAAGGAGAGAGGCTGAAATCACTTCGGTGAGTGGGGGCCGGGGGACACATGGACCAAGGACAGATGCTTATGTATCGGCATTGAGGACCCGGCTGAGGTCTCGGTATCAAGAAGACCAGCCCGAAGGTCTAGTAATCGTCTTCAAGGCCTTTGTTCAATTACTCCTGATCTGGTAGCTCAACTTCTTTCACAAGTTCAGACTGAGTTACCTCTCAGGGGTATAATGAGACCAGTCTCAGGGGGGCGCCTGGCGGGCTCAATCAGTGGAACACGTGACCCTTGATCTTGGGGGTGTGAGTGTGAATTCCATGTTAGGTGTAGAGCCAACCAAAAAAATGTATTGGGGCGCCAGGTGGCTCCGTCAGTTGAGCGCCTGACTTTGGCTCAGGTCAGGATCTCGGGGTTCATGAGTTTGAGCCCCGCGTCAGGCTCGCTGCTATCGGCTCAGAGCCCGCTTCGGATTCCCTGCCTCCCTCTTTCTGCCCCTCCCCTGCGCTCGAGCACTCTCTCTCTCTAAAATAAGGAAACATTTATATCTATTTAACATATATATTTATAAATATATGGTTAAATCTCGGGAAAAATGCTTCTCAAGAGGTTATCATCAGAGCCCTAACACTGATCCTCAAAATTCCAAGTTGTGAAATGTGAGTGACAAGAGAGTAAAATGGTCAGTGGAGGCCATTACATTTTACCCTAAATCCACACTGGGATTTCCATTCTTTCCCAATAGCTTCCCAGTTGCTCGCATCTTCCTTCCCTCACCTCTGGCGATGAGAAAGGGCAAGAAGCTGGGTGCAGTCCAGAGGGGGTGCTAAGAAAGTTCTTTCCTCGGGGCGCCTGGGTGGCTCAGTCAGTTAGGCGTCTGGCTTCAGCTCAGGTCATGATCTCACAAGGTTTGTGGGTTCGAGCCCCGTGTCGGGCTCTATGCTGACAGCTAGCTCAGAGCCTGGAGCCTGTTGCAGATTCTGTGTCTCCCTCTCTCTCTGACCCTCCCTTGCTCACTTTGTCTCTCTCACACTCTCAGAAATAAATAAAACATTAAAAAAAAAAGTTATTTCTTCTCGTGGCACAGAGCCGGGTGGACACGTGCTAAGCGCTGACTTAATGGCATCGAATAACTGAACTCCCAAATAAAATGAGAGTGTGAACAAGGCTCCAGGAAAGACGAGCATAAGAGAACGGGAAAAGAAGGACCACCAGACAGATAAATCCGTAAAGGGAGACTGTATTTTGGGTTAAAGCTGTCAGGTAACCCGTTTTCACACAAACGACATTTTATGACTTACGGTGCAATATTTGAATTAACAGCACGAAGCTGTCCTTCCTGTCCCTATGTTCAGTTCTTAAAGCCTTGAGGTCCCAATGAGGCTGATTCACACACAAGGTGCCAGAAAGTGATCCGGATTCAGCAAGTCAGAGTGATTGTTTCACTGAGCAATATGTCTTATGTTTTATTTACTCCACGGAAACAAAACTCGTCATCCATAAAAATATTCCATATGTGCTTATTACGTGTCAACAACAACACCAGCCCTGGATGCATCCACCCTCTCTGAGTGACACATGACCTACCTCTCCTGCAGATGCTCTTTGCCTTAAATTTTTTAAATGTTTATTTATTTTTGAGAGAGAGAGACAGAGCGTGAGCAGGGGAAGGGCAGAGAGAGAGGGAGGGAGAGACACAATCAGAAGCAGGCTCCAGGCTCTGAGCCGTCAGCACAGAGCCAGAGCCCGACGTGGGGCTGGAACTCAGGACGGGTGAGAATGTGACCTGAGCCGAAGTCGGACGCTGAACCGACTGAGCCACCCCAGCGCCCTGTGGTCCAAGCACTTTTAAAATGCTGCTCCACAGGCCTCTTACACGCTGCTGGATGGAGCAACGGATCCGGAGAAGCATTTTGGAAAACTGTGAATGTAAAGCAAAACATAGAGAGTGTCCGTGACCCCGAAATCCCACTCCCCAGGTGGAGACAGACTTTATATCCCCAAACGGGAGACGCGCAACGGCCCAGTGGCAGAGGAATGGATAAAGTGCGGTGCACTCACATACCCAAGTACAAACCACCAATGAAAAGAAACACCCTACGCAGCCCCGTGAATGAATCTTACAAACATCAGGTAGACCGAAAGAAGCCAAATACAGTGCCCAGTAAATGGATACATTCACAGGAGGTTTAAAAACAGGCAAGACTGTCCATATCGTTCGAAGTCAGGAGCGTGGACAAGTGTGGGAGGAGGGTCGTGCACCAAAAGGGGCTGGATTTGCCTGTTTTTCCACCCAGATGCCAGTTACAGGGGGTGGTTCACTCTCTGAATTCCTGGGAGGGCACACTTACGACTTGTGCACTGCTCTGTGTGTATGTTATATTTCAATTAGCAGGTTTCTGAAAAGGGGCACCTGGGTGGCTCGGTTGGTTAAGCATCAACTCTTGATTTCAGCTCAGGTCACGATCTTGCAGTTCATGGGTTCGAGCCTTCACTGGGCTCTGGGCCGACAGTGTGGAGCCTGCTTGGGCTTCTCTCTCTTTCCCTCTCTCACCCATGCGCGCGTACACATGTGTGCGCTCTCTTTCTCTCAAAATAAATAGATAGAGGGGCTCAAGAGTTGGTTGAGTGTCCGACTTCGGCTCAGGTCATGATCTCACGGTTCATGGGTTCGAGCCACGCGTCGGGCTCTGTGCTGACAGCTCAGAGCCTGGAGCCTCCTTCATATTCTGTGTCTCCCTCTCTCGCTGCCCCTCCCCTACTCACTCCCTGTCAGTCTCTCTCTCAAAAAATAAAAAAATAAACATTAAAAATTAAAAAAAAATAAAGAAGTTTTCTGAAAAAATAAGGAGCCCTAATATTCAGAAAATGTCATCTTAGAAAAGAGAGCCTGAAGGCAGTAACTTCGTTTTTAGTTTTACTGTTCTATGAAAATGATGTTTCCATCTTAAAAGCAATGGTTTCCACTGACATAGTACCTTTTTTAAGAGGGTAAAAGAAATATCTAAAGGATTATACATCTGCCATATAAATGAGAATATAACTTGTACATCCACGTCACAGTCAACAAATAAACAACCTTTGTTGGTTATCAACTTACCTGAGCTGTTTGGCATAGCTGAGCTCGATCTCTGTCCTTTCCTTTACAAATTTGATGTATTTCTCAAGAATGTCAATTCCCCACTGTGTGTGTTTTTCTAAGTTGTCAAACTGATCCTGTTTTTAAGAAAACACAAAACACAAAGAGAGAGCTTGTAATCCTTCTCTGTGATTAATAGGAATTTCAGCGCACAATGCTCTCAATAAGAGTCGCTATGCAGCAAGCAGCTCTAGTATTTTCCATGATGGTCCTGGGTGCTTCTCTTGCTGAGCAGTTTTAAATCAACATTACCAAATTTGGTTAGAAAACTGCCTGGGGGACTGAACTCTGACCTGCGCGTTCCCGTTACCAGCACGGTTTGGGGATACAGTCAATGTCCCAGTGCAAAGGGGAAGGAAGGTCTTTTCCAGATTCCACGAGCTGAGGGGTGAAACACCCGCATCGACCGGGTGGGCGGCTAGCCCCTTCCTCGTTATCTCTCAATGATTCCAAACAGCTCACTGAAATTCGGGGCAAGCAAATGGAAACGAGAAGAGTTCCAAAATACTGCTTTCTTCAAACAGATAAATAAAACGACTCATGCAGACTTTATTCAAACTTTCATCGAGCCCACACTATGTGCCAGGAAAGGAGCTGGCGGAACGGAGGGACAGAAATACAGCAGCCTCCTTGCCCACCTCCCTCCACTTCGCTGGGCGCCCTGAGGTTCCCAGCCTGGGACAGTGAGGGCTGGTGGGTATCCCAGCAACCCCCACTGCAAAGGGGTGGACACATCCAGGAATCAGGGGGCCTTGTCCAAGCGTGGGTGGGGGCAGGGCTCCAGGGAAGGTGGGGGGTAAGAAATGGAGAAAGTCCGGGGGGGCCGCCTGGGAGGCTCAGTCAGTTAAGCAGCTAACTCTTGATTTCTCAGGTCATGATCTCACGGATTGTGGGTTCGAACCCCAAGTCGGGCTCTGGACTGACAGTGCGGAGCCTGCTCGGGCCTCTCTCTCCCTCCCTTTCTTTGCCCGTCCACTGCCTGTGTTCTCTCTCTCTCTGTCTGTCTCTTTCTCAAGATAAATAAACATTTAAAAGAAAATTGTTTTTATTTTTATTATTATTATTATTTTTTTAATTTTTTAAATGTTTTATGTATTTCTAGGAGAGAGAGAGAGAGACCGCGTGAGCAGGGGAGGATCAGAGAGAGAGGGAGACACAGACTCTGAAACAGGCTCCAGGCTCTGAGCTGGTAGTCAGCACAGAGCCCGACGCGGGGCTCGAACCCACGAACCGTGAGATCATGACCTAAGTGAAAGTCAGACGCTTAACCGACTGAGCCACCCAGGCGCCCCAAAAAAATTGTTTTTAAAAAGAAAGAAACTGGAGGGGCGCCTGGGTGGCTCAGTCTGTTAAGTGTCTTACTTCTGCTCAGGTCATGATCTCTTGGTTCTTGGGTTCGAGCCCCGCTTTGGGCTCTGTGCTGACAGCTAGCTCACAGCCTGGAGCCTGCTTCAGATTCTGTATCTCCCTCTCTCTCTGACCCTCCCCTGCTCACGCTGTCTCTCTCTCTCAGAAATAAACATTAAAAATAATAATAATAATAATAATAATAAAAAGAAAGAAACTGGAGAAAGTCTCAGCCCATCGGCTCAGGCGAAGGAGTGTAGCCTTTCGAGTGGGCACAAGTGAGCTACTGAACATGCAAGAGGAGAGGCATGCCCACAGGCGTGTTTAGACTCATCAGGAGACTGTTGAGTCATCCAGGTGAGAGAAAAACAAAGAGGGAAGGACATACAGACCCATGACAACTAGACTCAACTAGGTTTGGTGGCTGGTTGCGTGAGGAGTCCGGAGAGGGATACGGAGGGGAGGCAAGATTCCGGGGGATTCATTGACTCTACCTCCTGGGACTAGAGAATGGAGGGACAGCACTTTGGGGTGAAGTGACACACTGGGTGAGGGAGGGACAGGTCCAGAAGGGAGCTGGAAACACGGATCCATTTGGAGCTCAAGGAGGGAGGCCCACGAGCTGGCGGATCTGAAGCAACGGCCAAGGGTCCAAGAAAAATCAGACTAATGTGCAGAATTAGTAAAGAGGGGCTGGCCCAGGGCGGGGGGTCCAGAAAGGGAAGGGAGTGGCGGTGCAACACTGCAGGGAAGAGAGAACTGCCGTGAGAGACAGAGACAGAGACAGACAGACAGACAGACAGACAGGCAGGCAGAGAGATGTCAAGTCAGCTGTCTCCTGAGAGGTAGCCGGAGTAGAGAATGTGGGTTCTAGCCCCAGCTGGGGACTTCGCTGACGCGGGCCCCCAAACATGGCCGAGAGTGCCTTTTTTGGCCTGAAGATGAAGAAACAGTCCCTGGATAATTTCACAATTCAGTCTTGAGGACTGTGCAAAATGGAAAAGTGTCGAATCAGATAGGAAAATATGAAGGCACAATCTGGGGCACCTGGGTGGCTCAGTCGGTTAAGCGTCCGACTTCGGCTCAGGTCATGATCTGCCTGCTCGTGAGTTCAAGCCCCGCACCGGGCTCTGTGCTGACAGCTCAGAGCCTGGAGCCTGCTTCGGATTCTGTGTCTCCCTCTCTCTGTCCCTCCCCTGCTCATGCTGTCTCTCTCTCTCTCTCAAAAATAAATAAAACATTAAAAAAAATTAAAAAGGAATGTGAATATTACAAAAATGATTAAATTGTATACTTTAAGTGGGTGACTTGTATGGTATGTTAATTACACCTCCATAAAGCTGTTAAATATACAATGTTTAAGTTAACAAAAGAAAAAAATTTAAATAACTTCAAAAAGATGTAAAATAAACAAAGCCACGGTTTAATCCTAGCACGTGCATGTGCAATCCTACAGGACACACTCAGTACCATCCTCCAGCTTGATTTTATTTTTTTAATGTCTATTTTTGAGAGACAGAGCATGAGCGGGGGAAGGGCAGAGAGAGAGGGACACACAGAATCTGAAGCAGGCTCCAGGCCTGAGCTGTCAGCACAGAGCCCGACGCGGGGCTCGAGCTCACGAACCGCGAGATCATGACCCGAGCCGAAGTCAGACACTCAACAGACCGAGCCCCCCTGGCTTGATTTTAAAACCTACCATCTCCCACTTTAAACGTGTCCTCACGCTTTCATTCTGTTTTCCGTTCAAAGCTGTGCAAACCGTAAAAGGAGCCCACTCCGTCCCTCCAAGTCCTCCTTGGGTGGAAGCAGGCGGCCAACAGAGTCAAAAGCACTTCTTCTCCAATGTCCGAAAAATCTCTTCTTGAATAAAACTCGTTTCCTCAACCTTGATCTGCACCCGCTCCCTCGCCTCCCCGTCCCCCCCGCCTTGTCTCCCCGCCCAGATCCACAGAACAGTTTGAGAAATTAAGGTTTTATTTTACAGGAGTGTTTTTCTCATGGAAAATCACTGTCAGACGTTTGTCTGTAAATCTAATAATTGTTCACCTGATCATAAAAAACAAGGGACAGATATTCAAGGCTTTCGTTGATTCTTGGGTCCCCAATAATACATTCCATGGACAGCTAGGCTCCGCTAAGGGAACACAAGTCAGGAGGGTTATTATTTGTGTCATCTGGAAGCATGAAGGTTGTCAAGCAAATTAAGAGCGTAAACAAGGCTGTAGGTCGCTTTAAACTACTTGAGGGAACAAATATACAAACAATTCAAGTAAAGATTATAAATCCTCCCTCGCTATTGAGATAGACCAAGGCTTGTGAAAGCTCTCGGCTAATTGGTAATAAAAACTCCTTTCCAGGGCCACCCGGGTGGCTCAGTTGGTTTAAGCGTCCGACTTAGGCTCAGGTCATGGTCTCATGGTTCGTGGGTTCGAGCCCCGCATCGGGCTCTGTGCTGACAGCTCATAGTGCATTTCGGATCCTCTGTCTTCCTCCCCTTCTGCCCCTCCCCCGCTTGCACACTCTCTCTGTCTCTCTCTAAATAAATAAATAAACTTAAAAAAACCCACAACTCCTTTCCACACACCCCTCCATTTGAGAGTCCTCTCTCTGTTTCATCTCCCATCCCCAGAGCCTATTTGCAGGAGTTCAAGGGGTTTCCTTGAACACTTGCTAACACCATCTGCTCTTAGGCTGTCCTGCTGAAAATCTCACTATATATTTTCCCCTATTAGTACGCAATTCTTTCCTAGCCCTAACGTATGCAAGCCTGAGCAACAGCGTTTGATACCAAAACTTTTGCTTTCAATCTACATTTGAATTGAGTCTACCTTAAAAATGACTCAAACCAACAATATGTTTTCAATAAAGTTGTCTGTATTCTAGAACCTTCTGCAAGCTGTAATAAAGGTCAAAATAAGGTCGAAATAAGTTAGAAGATCTTAACTACTAAAAACCTCGCGTGGCAATAAATAGGCTAGTTCTTGTCTTGTCGATATAATATTGTTCTTTCGATGCTGCATTGAAACATCTCTGGAGTGCCTGGCTGGCTCAGCTGGTAGAGCGTGTGACTCTTGATCTCGGGGTCCTGAGTTCGAGCCCCACATTGGGTACAGAGCTTACTTAAATAAATACATACATAAATAAATAAAACGTCACAAATAAAATTTTTTAAAAACAATAAAACATCCCTAGTGATGCCACACTCTACCATTTCTATCACACGGATTGCCACGGCATGAACTTTTTTTGACAGCAGTGAAAAGATTGCCATGGCATGAACTTTTTTTGACAGCAGCGAAAAGAAAATTCAAAACAGATGAAAAACTAATCAACCCACTTACATTCTTGACCAAAATGTGGAAACTTTAATGGAAAAAATTCCAGATCTTAAAAAGACTCCTTTGTGAGCAAATATCATACACGGCCCTTTAAAAAAACCCCAGCTTTTGCTACTTTGAAGATGGTGGCATTATCAAAAATGCATCGTTTCCCGTTTGATGTGGCATGACAGCAGTTCGGAGCCCTCTGCCCTCTTAGAAATCATGAAGGACATCCAAAAGCTTTCATTTACAGGGGTTAGGGCTATCAATGTTTACCAGAAATTAAAAGTCGAGAGCGTTTAAAAACTATGTCATAATCCATTAAGAAGACAAGACTAAAGCCATTACATGTTGAAGCAAATAGCATTGTTTTCTTTTCAAGAATTCTCCTTTCCAAAACCAAACAA